TTCCTTTCACTTTCCTCTATTTCCTTTAACTTTGCTCTTGTCCTACTATCATGCTCAGCCTTCATTTGGGTTTCAGTAATTCCTCTTGGTTACATTGCACTTGATCAAGTCCTACCATTTAGGCCTCTTACACCCTCCTTGCCACAGATTTTGGATCACTTGTTGGTCTCTTATCCCTAGGTTGGTTAGCAAAGCAACAAAGGAAAACAAAACAAAGCAGAGCAAAACAAAGCGACAAAAGAAAACAAAACAACAATAAAATGATTAAAAAAAGAGAAGTCTGAATATAGTTCAAGGTCTGTTTGTTGACCTTAAGGGGTGTTTTCTGGAGTGCTGTTAACAAACCCAGGGACAAGGGAACAAGTGATCCAAATCGGTGATGAGGAGGGTATTAGTGTTCTCTTGTTTGGGGAATATATGTTTAAAATTCTTAGTGGTTCTTTTTCTACCATTCTTTTGCGCATCCTATAGTGTCCCACTTTATCTCTTTTTATGGTTTGCACTTTGAGGTCCATTTTATCGGAGATTAGGATTGCAACCCCTGCTTTTTTTGAATTGCTGTTTGCTTGGTATGCCTTTCTCCAGCCTTTGATTCTCAGCCTATTTTTGTCTGTAGCCTTGAGATGTGTCTTCTGTAGGTAGATTGATGGGTTGTGTTTTCTTAGCCATCTGCTAGCCTCAATCTTTTAATGCCTGAGTTAAGTCCATTGATGTTCAGGGTTATCGCCATCTGTGGAGTCTATGATGTCATACCTTTTGTGTTGGGAGTTTTTCTACCACCCTTCTTTTTTTAAAAAATCATTTTATTGGGGCTCATACAATTTATCACAGTCCATACATACATCAATTGTGTGAAGCACACCTATCCCTTTCTTATCAGTGTGTTGTGCAAGTGTGTGCAGTTCATTCTTGACTTCTTTCCACTCTTAAGCCAATGCTATCTTGGGGGCTGTTTTCTCTTTGTTGCCCTCTGTGTGTGGTTGTTCTATGTGGTATCTCTTATTTATGCTTGGTGAGTGCTGGTCTTCTGGGGCTGGGTTTCTTCTAACATATTCTTTGAGTTTTTCCTTGTCTGGGAAGACTCTTACCTATCCATCTATCTTGATAGATAATTTGGCTGGGTAGAGTATTCTTGGGTTTGTGTTGTTTTCCTTCAATTTTTGGAATATGTTACTCCACTCTCTCCTCTTCTTCATAGTGTCTACTGATATATCTGAGCATATTCTTATTTGGGAACCTTTATATGTGATTGCTTGTTTTTCCCTACCTGCTCTCATGATTTTCTCCTTTTCCTCAAAGTTGGATTGTTTAACTATTATTTGCCTTGGTGACTTCTTCTTGGGATTCAGTCTAGCTGGTGTTCTTTCAGCCTCCTGAATGGTTGCCTGGTTTTCAATCCTTAAGCTGGGGACATTTTCCTCCAGGAATTCGCTCACTATTGTTGCAGGTGGCTTCTTTGTTGTGTCTTCCTCCGGTAATCCAATAATTCTAATGTTGTTCCTATTCATAGCATCAGACATAGCTCTTGGGTTTTCTTCAGCTTCTCTGATGATCTTATTAGATTTTTGTTCACGTTTGTTAAAGTCTGCTTGGCTGTCCTCCAAGTCACTGATGCGGTTCTCTGCGTCTTCCAGTTGATTCTTGAGGTCCGTGCGTCTACTATTGGTTTTTTGTTATCTCCTCCCTAAGCTCTTTTTTTCTCTTTGGTGTATGGACTTTATCTCCTCTATCATTTCATCCTTTTCTTTATTGTTTCCTTCATATCCTATATGACTCCAAGCAGCATTCTAAAATTTATCTCTGTGGCAGATCAATGTCTGCTTCTTCTATGCATGTCATTAGGTTCAGGACATCTTCTGCCATTGCCTTTTGTTTCTCCTGTTCTTTCAATGAGATCGTTGGGGCTGATTGCTGTTGTGTTGCATTGTTTTAGAGAATACAGGTGCCATTTTCCAGGGAGTCAAAGAGCACTGGCTCTTTCTGGGCAACTCGTAGGAATACATCTTTGAACTGCCTACAGCTAATTTCACTATGGAATTGGCCTACCACTTTATCCTCCTGTGGCTTCACTCTTTCCCTAGTCTACCAGTACTCTGTTATTTGGAGGGAAAGTTGGATGGTCCTCTTCGGGATCACAGGTTGGGTTGTTGTGGACCCACAAGTATGGTAGTATAGTGGGTGATCTCACAGGAAGCCATAATAGTGTGGCCCACAGTGGCTTGGGGCATTTCAGAGGGCATGTGAGGTGCCCGCTGCAACGGGAGTGCCACAGAAGGCTGGTGGGTTGCCCACTTTGGTGTAGAGCACCTCAAATTTGGGGTGGAATTTCCCTGGTCAAGTAGATTGCTGTGGAGTTTGGGCAGAAGTTCCCACAGCAGCTTGGAACATTGGTGAGTGTTGGCCAGCCTGCCTTAGGCCAAGCTGCCTTGGTGAGGCACTCTGGCAGGTGGGAGGAAGTTCCCTCAGTCACACGGGACCACAGAGGACAGATAGGAGCTCCCCCAGCCACACAGGCAGGATTTCCCCCAAAGAAAGTGGGCAGGATTTTTCAGCCAACTGTCAAGCATTGCAGAGTGTGGGTGGGCGGGATTTCCTTGGAAGAAGTTGGGCAGGATACCCTGGCAGAGGGTGGGTGGGCTTTCCCCAGCAGAGGGTGGAGCACTCCCAGCTGGGTGGAGGGCCAGTGAAAATGCCTTAGGCTAAGGGGAGTGGTCTGGAGGTAGGCAGTGGCATGAGAGAAAAGGGAAGAGAGAGAGAAAAAAACTAAGCCCACTGAGACTGTGGGGGGATAGAGAGAAGTGAGGGAAACAAAAGTGACAATATAAATGAGCCCCGATCCCTGACAGTGGGGCTAGAGGGGTTTAATCCCTGCCCGAGGCAGTGGCAAGCTGTGGCTGTGTTGAGATAAAGACCCTGCACTGGCCCCAAATGATCCAGGCTCCAGTCAAGACAGTGGTGGAGCTAAGGTCAAACCATAACTGGCCTCCACTGTGTTAAGCCAAAAGCCCCCAGCCCCTCAAACCCTAGTGGATCTGTGCCTACTTATCTTTATGATGGTCCTCCTGTGACCCAGCAGTGTGGAATTTCCCTCTTACCAGTAACTCTCCTGTGCTGATTTCTGAGGAGTCCCTCTGTTATGTGTTACTCAGTTGCCATCTTCCCGGAAGTCTTTCCAGTTTTTAAAATATGCAGTATTCCCTTGTTCTGTTCCCACAACTACTTCTTGGTCCATGAACAGGTTTTGCATGACCACAATGAAATGTTTTCGAATTCCCATTCTTTACAAGGTTATTCATAGTTTCTTATGATCCACATTGTCCAATGCCTTTGCACAGTGAATGAAACACAAGTAAACATCTTTCTGGTATTCTCTACTTTCAGTCAAGATCCATCTGACATCAGCAATGATTTCAGATGCTCCATGTCCTCTTGTGAGTCTTCTGAATCCAGCCTGAACCTCTCTCTGGCAGCACCCTGTCAATGTACTGCTGCACCCATTGTTGGATGATCTTTAGCTAATTTTATTTGCATGGGATATCGATGATACTGTTCAATAATTGACATATTTTGTTGGGTCAACTTTCTTTGGAATGGGTATGTGTATGGATGTCTTCCAGTCAATTGGCCAAGTATTAGTTGTCTTCCAAATTTTCTAGTATAGGTTTCTAGTGTTTTTCATCGCTCATTGAAACTTTTCGGTTGGTATTCTATCAATTCCTGGAGCCTGGTTTTTAGCTAATGCTTTCAGTGCAGCTTGGAGTTCTTCCTTCAGTACTATTGGCTATTGCTCCTATGCAATGGTTCCTTGTGACTCTGTGGGTTGTTTCTATCTTATTTTGATGCTTCCTTCATCATTCAATATTTTTCCCATAGAATCTTTCACTATTGCCACTTGGGGATTGAATTTTTTCTTTAAGATATGCTGAGTTTAAGATATGCGGAATGTGTTCTTTCTTTTTGGTTTTTGAACTCTAGGTGTTTGCACATTTCATTATAATAGTTTACTTTGTCCTCTCAAGCTGCCCTTTGAAATTTTCTGGTTCAAAATGTTCTGTTCTGCTCTTTGACGTCACCATTTCCTCCATGTGTCTTAGCCACTCTGCAGTTTCAGAGTCTCTCCTGACATCCACTTTGAACTTTCCTCTGCTGTAAGAGCAGAGACAATGACGGAGGGAAGTGGATAGGGGCTGATAGGAGAGAACGGGTTGTCAATGTTTGTCCTGAGCAGTGAGTAATTCTGTGTGACCTGGTTCAGGGTGACCTTATATATAGGTTGCTGTTGCTGAAGTACAGTGGAGGGGAAGGCTAATAGAATGCCTTTTGGCTTACTCTCATATATGATGAGAGATTTCTTTCATGGTAATAGTTTGAGGAAATGTTACTCCGCCTCTGCTTTATGTTCATGTGAATGTCATGATACAGAAACTAAGAAAAAACTTTCCTTTATTTAAAACAAAATATCGAGATCCCATGATCAATGCTGCAAACAGTTATCTAAAGCTTAAATAACACTCCATGCAGATATAAATACTTGTAAGTGCCTTTTAAAGGATAGTAGACTAGTGTAATTTATTTCATGCTGTTTATCAAAACCCCTTTCTGTCAAGTTAATCCCAACTCCCGGCAAAGAGGACGGAGTAGAACAGCCCCCAGGGGTGGGCTGCCTCTCCTCTGTCAGGCGCAGTCATCGGGTCTTTCTTTCTCCATGGAGCTGGTGGCGGGTTCAATCAGCTGAGCTTTTGCTTAGCTGCTGAGCACTTAACCACTGTGTCCCCTTTATTGTATGTCACTGTACTGTGTGTCAAAAAGGGCTGACAATTTTTTGAGGGGAGGAATACATTTAAATCTTAGGGTTCCTTCAAAAACAGAAAAAATGAAATATCATAGTGGTTGATATAAAGGTTGTTGAACAGGAGAGAAATTGTCTAGCTAAACAAAGAGTGTATCATGTTAATGGTGCTTTGTGTTTTGTTGCTGTTGTTGTTTTTCCGATATTGAAGAGAGTGGAGAGAGCCTCAGAATTGGCAGTTTCGAAACCATTTTCTGCTGGAAATTCAGTTTTACCCAGAAGACTTTGGGGTCAAGTCATCAATTTGGAAGCATCAGCACAAATAGAGGATTATGAGGAAGCCTATGAAGAAGGTAAGAGAAAAAAATTTTAATGCTGCAATGTAACAATTCTTTGGAGCACAATTTATTAAAGCATAATCCACAACATAGAGAGGAATTCAAAAGTTCATGGGAAAAGTTCATTGTCTTTTCATTTTGCTTTCTATGACAAAAGTTTTCCTTTTTCTCTTTAATTTTGGTCTCTTTCTATTGCCCTGAAACTAATTTACTCTGAAGTTAACTCCAGTATTGCAAGTACAGGTATATTTAAAGCCCATTTTGTCTCATGAAACAGAACCACACCCAGAGACAATTTGACATAGTAAAATGAACCGATAAGTGTTACATGTCCTTGTCACTGATGTTAGCGTGCTAGTATGATACAGATAATAAGACCATTAGTTTCAACAACCTGATTCATTTCCCCCCCAAATTTTTACATCATGCATCCCTATCCAGAAACCCCATTCCCTGAGAGCTACTTGAGAATTGTGATAATCACAAAGGTCATCTGAAGTAGACATAGTGTCTTCTTTGAAACCCCATGCCCCGCACATTAAGAGTAGTTTGTGATAATGCAAATAATGCTAAAGCAGAAATGTTTTCCATACCAATAGATTTCCAGGTGATTATCTGACTCACTAAGAAAGAACTCCCACTACAATTTGGCTTTCAGGATTTCACACACTAATTTTCTCTGGCCTCAGTGGACACTCCTTTTTTACTTGGCTTTGCTGATTCCCCCTTAATCTATTCTTAAAATCTACCAGAATTCATCAAGACTTAGTCTACTCTATCAGCCGCCTTCTGTTGGTGGTCTCTTCTACTTTAAATATTGTCTGTATGTCAACAACTCCTACACTCATTTTATGTAGCTTTTACTTCTTCCCTGAAACCAAATTGAACTGCCAATACCTATCTCACAGTACAATTTACTTAAGACTTAGCATGTCTATTACTGAACTTCTCATCTTCTTCCTAAAGCCCTCTGCTTCCTAGCCTTCTCCACCTCAGTAAATGACAATGCCACCCTTACAGTTGTTTAAAGAAAAATCTGGTAGATTTGTTGCACATCCCATATCCAATCCATCAGCAGATCATGTTGTTTCCACCTGAAACGTAACCTATAATATAACAAACTCATAACACCTCTATCCCAGGCACCGGTCACCACCAACTCACTCCTAGCCTTTGTCTTCCAATTAGTGCCCCCTGTTTTAGGGTCTGACCTCCTATGGTTTATTTCAACATATGAGCCCAAGTGATATTAAAATATAAGGCACTTCTTCACTTCAGTCCATCTTGTGGCTTCCCATTGTACTCAGAGTAAAAGGCAAACTATTTAGAATGACCGTGAAACCCCCAAACCAGCGCTTTTCAACCTCATTACTATTGGCATGTTGAGCCAGATCATTATGTGTTGTGAGAACGTTGGGTGAGGTTAAGTAGTATCCCTGTTCGCTACCCAGTAGATGCCATTACCATTCCACACCCCAGTTTTGACCACCATCAAAAATGCATGCAGACATTAACAAGCATCCCCTGGGGGCCAGAATTGTACCTGGTTGAGAACCACTGCTTTATAAACAACCTGCTTAACCCTCGTTACTTCCTCCCTCTCATCTACTACTACTCTCCCTCTCTCGCCCTCTTCTTCAGCCACACTGGTCTCCTCACGATTTCTCTAGCACTTAAGACACAGTGCTTCCGTGGGGCCTGCACTTGCTTTCCCTCTGAATGAAGTGATAGGCCCTCACATACCCAGCTGGCTCACACTCTCATTTCCTTCCCTTCTTTGCACAAACAGCTTCCTTTCAATGGGCTTGTCTTTGACCAAGAGCCCTGGTGGCATAATGGTCTATGGATTGCGCTGCTAACTGCATGGTTGGCAGTTCAGACCCACTAGTTCTCCTCAAGAGCAAGAAGCGCTTTTCTACTCCTATGAAGAGTTCCAGCTGCAGAGAGCCACAGGGGCATTTCCACTCTATATTAGGGCATGGAACCCACTAGATGGCAGTGAATTGTTGTGTGGTTTGGTTTTTCTTCTTCTTTGGCTGCCCCATTGAAAATTGCAACACCCACCATCTATTTCTTGTACCCCATGCCTCCTTTCCTTGCTTTATGTTTCTCTGACTTAATCATGTATTGACTCTCCCCCCCAGTATCTCTTCATGGTGACAAAGATGCTTGTATATTTGTTTCTTCTATTTTGTACTTGGCTATGTGTCTGCTCAGCATCTAGAAAATTAATGGACACAAGACAGGTTCTCAGCTAACATGTAATGAAAGAATGAAAACAGTGAATGAAGAAAGTCTCCGAAGCAATTCAAGTATTAAAAAGATTTTTGTTGTTGTTTGATTGATAGCTCAGGAACTGGTCAGTGATTGGCTGGACACCAAACTTAAGCAAGAACTAGCATGTGATGCTGCAGACATGGTGTCAAGGGTGACTCCCATGCAGGAAGCCGTGGGCCTTTTGAAATATGACAAGTTTGATGGTAAGAACTTACCGTAACTAGTTATTCTAAACTTTTAACATCTAAAGAACATCCTTAAGGAGTATTGAACTCTTTTGAAGAGTAAATTTTTCACTTTTCTCTGCCTTGCTTATTGGCTTTAATTTTCTTGACTGAATGTAAATGACTTATATCTTTAGTAAATTGATGATGCTTTTTAAATGAAAATGTTCTAAAATTTTAAAAATGTCCTGATGCTTTTAAGAGCAGTCAAGTCTCTTTAAGAAAGCATATCAATGGGAATGAGGGTATGGGCAGAGTGGAGACCCAAAGCCCATCAGTAGTCAATTGGACACCCATGTCAGAACGGCCTCAAGGAAGAGAAGAGCCAGTCAGGGTGCAGTATAGCACCGATGAAACACACAACCTTCCTCTAGTTCTTTAATGCTTCCTCCCTGTCTCTCCCCAACCCCGCCCCTACCATGACCCCAATTCTATCTTACAACTCTAGCTAGATCAGAGGATGTACACGGGTACAGGTAAGAGCTTGCAACACAGGGAATCCAGAACAGATAAACTCCTCAGGACCAATAAGGGGAGCAGCGATACTAGAAGGGTAAGGGGGTGGGGGGAGTAAGGGGGAGCCGACCACAATTATCTATGTATGGCCCCCATCCCAGGGGGACAGACAGCAGAAAAGTGGGTGAAATGAGACAGCAATCAGTGTAAGACATGAAAAAAAATTA